AAAAAAAAAAAAAAAAAAAAAAAAAAAAAGGCTGATACACAGGGAAAAGCCTGGTTTACATTGGCACAAGCCTCTTCCTCTGGGCTAAGATGCTGAAAACTTCCCATAACCAGTTCAGGTCGTTTTACAATCACAGCCGCACAGCCACAGTTGCAGCGGAACAACCCGCAGCTCCGTTTATCGACTCCCAAGCGAGAGAAGGCAAGCATTCCAGTACTGAAAGTTCAGACTAGTTGAGGAACTGAGAGTAACTTTCCATCTGAAGCACAAAAGCCGGATTGAGGATCCCATATCGAGCTCTGCATAAACCATGACTAGAGACAGGCCCTAGATGATGTAAACAGATGGCCCACATATTACCAAACACCAAACTCCATGAATCTCACCATGCTGCTCCAGTCACCCTGTGCCTTAGGACCACACAAAGACGGCATAATTGGCTTCTGAACATGACTACTCATGAGTGAATCAATGAAAGAAACATGGGACTGTTGAAACAATTTGCAATGGTGCAAACAATTATATGAAACTTCATGAAAGAACAAACAGCCAGATGAGATGGATGAAGAGACCGGATGTGGAGACACCCAACCACGGCGGCCAATGAACGCCATGAATGGGATCAATGGCATGGATAGGCAGAAAGGATGGATGGGTTGGAGAGGTGACAAACGGGTTACGAATGGGTCGGGGATGAATGGCAGATGGATCGAGAATGGGTTGGGGTGAATTGGGGCTGAATGGACGATACGTGGGGACGGACTGTGGATGGTGGGGAAAGAATTGAGAATGGACTGGGGAAGACTTGGCGAAAGATTGGGGATGGATTGGAGATGAGTTGAGGGATAGATTGGGGACGGGTAGGGAACCGGCAGGGGATGGACAGGGGACGAATTGGGAATGGGTGGGAAATGGATGGGAGATAGATGGGGTCCAGCTCGGGATGGATCAGAGAGAGAGATAGGGAGAGAGACTGGAAGGGATGGACAGAGGGATATACAGAAGGGATGGAGGGATACCAGCGGAGAGGAGGGATCAAAAGGATGGGCAGACTGAGCCATGGACAGGAGAAGGGAGGGAGGGAGGGAGGGATAGCTAGAGGGATGGATAGATCAAGATGTGTGGGCAGATGGAGGAATAAAGGCATGGAGGGACGGACAGGTGAACAAACAGACAGACGATGGGGACATATGGAAGCATACGAACAAATGTAGGAAGGGCGTGGATGGACAGCCAGACGGACAGTCACGTGGAAGGAGGGACCGCGGGAGGGACGGACAAACGGACGCAGGGCAGGTGGGCTCGCAGAGAGTACAAATGGGTGAAAGGATGGTCAAACAGGCCCGCACACGGACAGACAGACGGACTGGTGGGACAAGCAAACAAATGAGCGACCGTGCCAGCAGATGAACAAATAAATCAACGAAGAATGAACAATATAGCGAAAACAACGGACACAAGCGAATGGACAAATGGACGGAAAAGTAAATGGACGAACGGACAACCAAATGAGGAAGCAAGCACACAAACAATCAAACAAATGATCAGACGCACGAAAGAACTAATTACAACATTGGAAAAAACTGTTATGGTGGCTCTCGTTTCTTTCGAGGACACTCCGCATGAGTCAGCACTCTGTTAAAGAACTTAAATCCATCAGATCTTGTGTGACAAAGTCAGTCAGCTGACTCAAGGGTGCAGCTTCTGACCTGCACACACTGATGTTGCAGAAACGGACCCACCTTCACACGCACTTCCTCCATGTAGAGACTGCCCACCGGTAACTGCGGCGGAACACATTTCCCCTCAGGAGCTCCCGAGCCCCCGGTACCGGTATAGATGCACAACCTTGATGTGACTGGAGTGGTTCCGTCTGGAAATTCTAAGGGCAACTCCGCTGCCAAAACCGACAGACACGCAACCCAGCAAAAATCATTTCAAAACATGTGTTTATATTTGCAAGGAAGATGAGCAATAGCGAACTCCAGCAATCAAACAGCATCATACATATGAGTCCAGATAGTCGTGACCTCGAACCAACAGCAGAATTGCATCACGAGATTCACCAAATAAGAACACACCAAGAGTTCATAATTGACAATGCTGAAATAGTCCCATCATCATCAACGAAGAACCAGAGTTGATATCCTATCTGGCGCTCGGCGCCCAGACTACATGTGGCAGATCCTATCTAGCCTATACTACGAAGCCGAAAGATGACATCAGCAGCATTCCCGAAGTTCGAGCATATGGCGACCAGTGTCGCTCGCTTCCAGCACCAGGTATGTCTCGCGCTACACTCACAACCTCGTTCCCCAACTCACAGACGCCACTAGCACCCAAGAACCACCCTGCGCCTCACCCAGCTTACAGCAGCGCAGCTCGGCTATGGCTGCGTGCTCCTTCCCTGCTCGCCCGTGAGAGCATAGGCGCCAGCCAGCAAATAGCGCAGCAGCACTTGCGCAGCATGCCGCCAGCACCCGAATGCCGAATGCGGAGGCAGGCCCTTTCCTATATCCAAGTGGCCTGCCTGCGTCCAGTCCCAGGGAGCTTCCAGTAGGCCCCGGTAGCCTGAGGCCCAGCACGTCGAGAACAGGCCTTGGGCCTGAGGTGGTTGCTTGTGCCCAACTGCCTTTGGCCTGTGTTTGGCCCGGTACCCGTATCCTGCCCAGGGCCTGCTTCACATACATTCACACAGGCGGCCCAGGGCCTGGGTTCACTCAACCAACTGGCGCTGCGCAACTGCCTGAATTTCCCCGAGTTGCGTGGTGGCCAGAAAAGGGCCCTGAGGGCCTCGTCGAGCCTGCCTTCACTTCGGGCGGCCGACGGACTGCAAAAATGGGGCCTTATGGGCAGTGGCCTCGCATTCCCTCCTCCTTAGCTTCAACAGTCCTCTGAGAAGCTCAATCTTCGATCATAGGGCGCTTTCCCTTCTGCAGAAATCTCTCGTATAGGGTTACAACTTGAGGAGCGGTCTGCATGAGCTCTTCCCTGGTGAACCAGCGGTCCTCCTTCGGATCAGTGTGATGCCGGAACCGAACGTGGTAGTGCAGCTTCGGTTTCGGAGGATGTCCCCTGCCTGCTGGTCTTGATACCGGCAGCTCTCTGTGATCCACAATATCATCGATGTCCACCTCTCCATCCATGGTTGGGGGCAGCATTGAGCGACGAGATGGAAACTGATCAGTATCTTTGAAAGGTGCCAGCTTGGAGGCGTGAAAGACATTGTAAGTACGGAGATGACCAGGGATCCGGATAACATAAGATGGCCCATCCGGATCTGTCCCAACGATGTCCAAGACTTCCCAGGGTCCAAAGTACTGGGGCATGAGTTTGCGGGAGATCCCGTGCTCCTGTCCCACTTCTGAAGACTTAGCCCAGACCCTATCCCCAACCTCAAATGCAGAAGGACGGCGGTGTCTATTTTCAGACTCTATCATTGCAGCCTGCACCTTCTGCATCTGTTCTACAGCTTGCTGCATCTTCTGTTCATAGCGGTAAGCAAATTCCAAGGTACCTGGTGCAGCAGTGGATTGATTCTCAGGAAGAAGAAAGTCTAGGGGCAGTCTAGGCTTGAATGTTAGCAGTAAGCTATTTGGGCTCACCCTTGTGACAATGTACAGCGTTGTTGTATAAGCTGGCGATGAGAGCAAGCTTCTCATCCCAGTCTACCTGGTTGGGCTTGATGTAATGCCTCAACAGGTGTTGTACAGCGCGGTTCAGTTGCTCGGCCTGACCGTTGGCCTCTGGGTGATTCCCAGAAGTCATCTGCAACTGAGTTCCCTGCTCTGCAGCAGCGGCCTTCCACAACTCGCTGGTAAACCGGACATCCCTGTCACTAATAATAGACTTTGGTAAACCAAAGTCCCTGACCCAGTTCTCTTTAAACATTCTGATCACATACTCCGTTCTGGCTGTTTCCGGCATTGCCACTAACCTAGCATACTTGCTAAATCTATCCACGATAACGAAGATGTGACGCATCCCACTCTTGCTGGTGATCAGAGTATCCATGAAATCCATGGACAGACTCTCACCAGGCCGTTCCGGAATCGGAAGGGGCTTCAGAAGCCCAAGAGGAGCCTGAGTACGTGGCTTGTCCCGTTGGCAAACTTGACAAGTCTCCACGTACAGCTGGGCATCTCTCATCATCGTGGGCCACCAGAACCGCTGCAGCAAGTTCGCTGCGGTCTTCTTATACCCAAAATGGCCGGTGGCATCATGACACTCGCCTAAAAACAAACTACGCAAAGACTCGCTATTGGGAACACACAATCGTTATTCCCTGCCTTCTCAAGGAACAGCAAGCCATTGACCAACTCAAACTCGGCAGAGGTCTTCTTGTCCTTTGCCTGAAGTCTGCGTATGATCTCAGACATGAACTGGTCCTCGCGATAGGCTTCCACCAAGGACTGAGTAACATAGTCCGTCACTAATCATCGCACCTGAGAAATCAGGTCTACGCGACAAGGCATCCGCAACCTTGTTGTACTCCCCTTCCACATACTGAGGGTCAAAGTCATACTGCTCAATGACTTCGATCCAACGCTTGAGAGCGTCAAAAAGTACAGGCTGGGTTCTCATCCATCTCAGGGTCTGATGATCAGTCCTGAGGATGAAGAATCTCCCAAGGAGATAGTGTCTCCAATAGGTCAGAGCCTTGTAAGCCGCATAGAGTTCCTTCTCATAGGTGGACTTAGCCAACTTCTGAGACGACATTTTCTTGGAAATGTACTCTACTGGCCTCAACTTTGGCCCCTCCTGCTGCGCGAGCACGGCGCCAATGCCATATTGGCTGGCATCCGTGGTGACTATAAACGGCTTGTCAGGATCAGGAAGTTTCAAGACCTCATAGTGCGTCAGCACATGCTTCAAATGTCTGAAAGCAGCCTCGCACTCGTTTGTCCACTCACATGGGGGGTCAAGGCGGGTCAGATCATTCAAAGGACTATGCTATAGTTCTTAATGAAAGTCCTATAGTACCCAGTCATTCCTAAGAAAGATCTCATCTCAGTCACAGACTGAGGACGTGGCCAATCGCGAATGCTGGCCACCTTCGCGTTATCGGGCTTCAACCCTTCCTCGGAGATCTCATGACCCAAGTACAAGATACGGGTGCGGCCAAACTCGCACTTCTCACCATTGATCTTGAACTTGTGCTGTCGCAGGAGACTGAGGACTTTGTCCAAATGTGCAACGTGCTCCTCGACAGTCTTACTAAAGATAAGTATGTCATCGAGGTACACGATGACAAACTTATCTAAGTAGTCATGGAATATCCGATTCATAGCGTGCTGAAAGGTGCCAGGAGCATTGCAAAGGCCAAAAGGCATCACCACAAACTCGTACAGACCGTACCTGGTCTGGAAAGCGTTTTTGTGTTGATCCTCGGGCCGGATTGGAATTTGATGGTACCCGGACTTCAGATCTATCTTACTGAAGTACCAACACCCTTACACTCTATCTAACAAATCGTCGATGCGCGGTAGGGGCTCTCTATTTTTTATTGTGATGGCATTGAGGCCCCTATAGTCAATGCACATACTAAGAGTACCCTCCTTCTTAGGTACGAATAGAACTGGAGACCCATAAGGAGAGACACTCGGCCGGATCCAACCCTTCTCTACGAGTTCCTTGAGTTGGTGGCGAAGCTCATCAAGCTCGCCTGGAGACATCCGATAGATCCTACCCTTCGGGATAGTAAACCTTGGGATAATCTCTATCGCATGGACGACCTCCCTCTCAACAACCCCTGTTGGCTCTTCAAATAGATCAAGGTACTTAGCAACTACTCTCTCTATCTCCGGCGGCATTTTCACCGGCTCGCCTGCAGCAGAGACAAACTAAATCCTGATTTTGCTTAGAATAATTGTAGAATGCGGCCGCACACATGCACCCATAGGACTCAATCAGACTACTAGCTTTGAACTTATGTAATCTGGCGGTCCCTCCACCTGGCAAAGTGTGTTTGACCACTTTTCGGTCCCAGTCAAACTGGGGCTGTGCTACAGAGAGGTAGTACATACCTAGTAACATATCCATTGGGAGCTCGTCACTTACTAGGAACGAGACACGATGTCTCAAGTCCCCTCCCGCGTACGGGAAACAACACTCAACATCCTGAAGGTAATCGTTAACTACCATGCGCTGTTTGTTGGCACAAGTCCACTCCACAGGTCGACTCAGGCGCTGCACTCGCCCCTGTAACCGCACCCTCTCAACGCACGCGCGACTAATAAAGTTCCTAGTCGAGCAAGTGTCATAATAGGCCCCGGCCTTGCGGCCGCCAATGACAACCTCGCTGACGAACATCTCACCCTTCGGGGCTTTGACTAGTGCCGTCCAAGAAGCTAGTGGGTCTGATCTAGACCACTCCACCTCTAGCTCCTCTAAGGACTCAAACACATTCATCGAACAGAGGCTCGAWGGGTCTGAATGTGTTTGCGGGACGACATGGGAGTCAGTAGCTTGGGCCATCTCTCGAGATGGTGAGGGTGTCTCCACCACCTCGACCCTAGCAGGAACAGGTACTATTCCTACTGGCCCGACGTGTTTCCCAAAGCACTGCCTGGAGTACTGGCAACGTTGCTACCAACGGGATGAGAGAATCCCAACACCTGCCCCATCGTAGGCAGGATCTTTTCTGTCACTTTCTTATTGCGGCACTTGAATTGGTTGTGGCCATATTGACCACAGCGAGTGCAGGCCTGCCGAGAGTAACGATCTCTCCACACGTCCTCTGTAAGACCCGCTTTCTCCCATGGAGGAGCGTTGGGGTCAACTTGACTCCTGGACCGAGAGCCTCCGCAGCGTCTACCGGTCGCCTTACCTTTTTGAGCTACGGCAGCGACCACTCCACCCTCTGAAGTTTCTACGCTGCTTGCCTCTGAACCTACT